GTTAGCGGCTCTGTCCTGATTTGGGGACATTTACACTCCTGCAACTTGTTGCCCAAAGCAGCGTCCTCATCCTAAAAGCTTTTTATCTTGTAACATACTTGCTGTTTACCCAAATATGTTTCTCTGTTAGCAAAGAATCCAAACAGGGTAGAATGAACCTGACCTCCCTGAATGACATGCCCTCATTTTATGTTTTAACATTAGCGCATTAACAGCATTATATGAATATACTGTATAACAGCATAACTCATTTTACTCTATATTGTATAGATGATATTTAGCTTTTCGAGGCCACCAATTAGCCCCAGTAGAGTGAAACCAAGCCAACAGGGCCTTTGAGCTACTTACAATGACATGTATAGGCCACCTCCAGGTACTTGTAAGTGCCGACACAGGGGTCTCCAAAGACCGAATTGCTCGCTTTGATCATACAGCTGCTTCTCCCATTACAGCTGTGGATGCAGATTAATGTGAGTAAACGCAGGTTTGAATGTGCAGAGACAACAGAGGTAATATTGGTCCATATTGTTTAACAAAAAGAGTGGGCTTCTGTACCTTTCAGCAACTTTGGTAGTGGGCCTCGAGCAGTGGACATTTTGGAGCTGAGAGGCAGGACGTCTGTAGGAGCATGTGGTGGGGTCACGGCGTCCATAATCAGCCCCGTACACAAATATAACCTGATCGTCATCTGATCAAAAGAGGAGGAAAAGAAACACATTCAGATGAGTGTTGAAATGCAAAGAAAATACAAATATATGTAAAAGTAGAGAAACTGATCTTACCACACTGCAGGTTTGCAAAAGAACTCTCACATGCTACAGTGCTGACTATAAAAGTAAAGATAGATCACATTAAATATTTTGCATTTGTAGCTTTGTTTCACTTATGGTTTCTCACAGAACTGTAACTGACCCGCCGGGAAGCAGGCATAGCTGGTCTCCAGGTATTTGTAGATGCCTCCGCAGGGATCAGAAGTACGTACAACTTGTGCGTTTATTTCACACACTTTCTTGCCATCACAGCTGCAGGGAGAAGATAAAGAGCTCATTTCCAGGTTCTCACAACTCACTGAGCTGAATGTTACTTTTATCTAAGTAATTATGTCAAAGATAATGTTGCAAGAAAGCTTTATACAAAAAGCAGGAAAGGTCAGTTGAACTGTCAATGTTCAGGCTGTTTGAAGTGAACATTTGATCTGTTTAGTCATTACTCATTACATTTAGCTAACTGTCAAGATCAGCGCATTACTTGTGCTATGTTGATTAAAGAATACAGAGGTATAAGTGGAAGAGTAATTGGTCCTAAATATAATATGAAAATAAAACAACCGGAGGAGGAATTTTACATTTTCTTGAGGACGTCCACGGTGCCCTTCTGAGCGCACTGTGTATTGTGAAGCTGGTTGTGAGGTCTGCCCTCACTGCAGGTCTCTCTGTTTAAACGTCCATACAGAGCTTTCTGCACAACGATCACTCCACTCTCTGTTAACACACCACAGAGGGAAACAAGGACAGAAGGGAAGGACAATTAAAATAGTGTCCGAGCAAAAATATAATACAGGAAGACTTAAAGTACGAGGCTGCCGAAATTCTAAGTACTAAACTTACAACATTTGTCTCTCAATACTCTACAACTCCTCCAGATTCTCAACAAGCAAAATTATTTAGCTTGCTCTAAAAAAATAAAATCAATCCCCTATGTGTACTGTGTGTGTAGTTGTTCAGTTGTACCACAGCTCAGGCGTTGGACATTGCTGGCATCATCGCAGGTGATCACTGTGTTCGTGGACAGGGGGATCAGAGTTTGGGCTCTAGAAAAGCCTGGAATGAAAAGTTTGTTTTATGATTAGTACATATTTGCTGAATAAAGGGTAAAGCCAAAATGAAGGTTCCTATTTAAACATTTTGTCAGAATGAGAGCAAACAGTGTTAGCATGAGTAAAACAGTTGACTTGAATGAGAATGAGCTGTAAAGAGACAACAAAATACAAATAAGTCAGTGGATTGCAAATGTACAAACTGATTTTATTGAAAAAGCATAGACTGTCCAAATGCTTTGTGATTCATGGATCTAAACGTAAGATTAGAAATAAGGCACAATATGAACAAGTAGTCAAACAACATTCAAACATCCATTTACCTGATCTCATTAGCAAACATGTTGCTGCCAGCACTGAAAAAAAAGAAAAATAAGTTTTTAAGGTTTATTTATCTCATCACTTCAGATTATCTCTGATATCAAAGTGAGTTTATTTAGCAGTTGTAAGCACTATTGTCCTTTAGGTCCATTCACATATAATAATAAAGCAATTTTCCAGCAAAAATCTAAATTCAAACTTCATGATTTTTTATGAACTCATACATCGTAGAACTTCAATTGATATATTTAATTTGCTTCATTCACTGAATTCAGCCTGCCTTTATTTTTAAACAGGCCTTTCATTCCTTTGCATAAAACTCTTGCTCAACAAAAATGGGAAATACAATAAAATTGTTTATTTAAACCAGTATGATGATACATTGGTGGTCGTGGTGTCTTTAAAAGGAACTGAACAATTGAATCATGGAGAATCTAACTGATCCAACAATGTGCAGCATATTGACAAAAGTTTAAAAATTATCTGGTGTCGATGATCAAAGGCAGCTTAAAACTCGGCTCAATGAGGTTTTTAAGAGGTTTTATATACATTCCAAAGAAATATATATATAATCAGACAACAGAGACATTCTATTGAGTACCTATATGTGCAGCCACACCAGGCTAGTAAAGGAGACCTCCCTCTAAGTGGGACCCTGAAGTTTTACATCATAATTTTCATCATCAGTCAGATATGTACTCACACAGTGTGGCGCTGAGTCTGGAGC